GAGGCAAAAAAATCACTTTGATAAACCATGGCTTTTTTGTTTTGGAATATCAATCACCACTAATAAATAAATTTCAATTTACTTGATTTAATTTTTTATTTTTACTACATCGACTACTGAGTTGAATCAATTTTTTTTGTCATAGGATATTCTATAATAGACTCTGGGATTGTAAAATTTTTTACAAATAAATCTATCAAGACAGAATTATGAAATAAAGGCAAATGCCCTCTACAATATTCTTCATTAACTATTTCAAATTGAAAAATTTTACGATTAAGTTAAAATTGTATTTCAAATAGGTTAAGGCAATAAGAAAAAAAAAAATTAAGACAAAAAACGAGAAAGCGTTCTGCCAATAAATTAGAAGCGGTTATTTTGTTGCATCTATTAGTTATTTATCGATTTATTTCGATGTTACAAAAAAATTGCTTATAATACAACCATTGCAATGCATTATTACTTGAAAGCATTTGATGTTAACTGATGTGTCCACTTTGCGTAGTTACTCTTAATAGAGTCTAAAGTGGCATATCTACCATGAAATTAAATCGGTACATTTACAAAATTGAGAAAGTCTGATTTCACTGACACACATGATATGTCTTAGTTTATTTTTTTCAAAAATTAAAACAATTAAGAAAATCATTCATAAGAGTTTGTACATTTTTAATACCAAACTGACTTATAACATTTTTTAAACGTCGCTATAGTTTCCATAAATATAAGGATTTGGAGACTTTTAAACTACAGGTATGCATGAAAGTATCAAACCGTACTATCTGAGCAAAAACAATTGCAATCTTATTCATCATCTCTACGAATGCTATGCGAAATTGTTTGGTTTTCCAACTCCATTAATTTCCAAAAATGCTCAGAAAACCTCTTAATTTAGATAAGTGATGTATCATAATACCATAGTACACATTTTGGGCTATCTTTCTCAATACTTACAAACTCAGCTGTCAAATCACTAAACTACAAAGAGTAACAATTTTCTTTGTGTTCATTTGTGTTCTGACATAAACCTAGGTGTATGTTGAGTTGCATCGTTGCTGGCGACAGCCATCACTACTAATAATATCGCTGCACAGTAGGTATCGTAGATGATGCAGAATACTACGTAATATAAGTATTAGGGTGGTGCTTAACAGGGGTGGTTTTAATTATCTTAACCCCTATAGGTTCAAATGCTTCCAAATTGTAAAAAAAAAATGCCCTAAAAATTTGCACTCTTAATATTAACTCCAAGATGTTTTGCATTTCAACCTAAGTTTCTTATGGAAATAACGTGAGAAAAATTTCCTTTGTTATTTAGAATTTTATAATCCGGGGGCAAATGATGAGTCATGATGGGGCAAAAATTTAAGTTTAATTTTTTATATACTTATCAATTTTATCTCTATTCAAAAATGTAATTCATCTTTATTATTGATTTAATTATTTTTGAATTGAAAAAGCCAACTGAATACTTTTTAATACATTTTATAATACAAATATTTATTTTAGTTTCATACTTGATAATATTAACAATTATGTAAAAATTAAACTTTGAGCTTGAATAGATTTTCAACACCAATAAATGTAACACAAAATTCTAAGGAAACTTTTTTTCAGAGCGGTTGATCCAACCTACTATCTGTAATGTAGCTACTCCTCTATATGTGCCTTGGTATTTGTGTTTTATGGTCTCTATCCTAAAGTTTTAAAGACTGCCTTCGATTCTGTTTGTACCATGTATCTATGTTCTCATATTATAACTTTTTTCTCTAAGTTTGTGACTGTCACTCTTATTCACTATAAATCTTTATGTCCTAAATTCTATTTTGTATTTTATTTTTTTATTTTTATACTTCAGACAACTTCTATTCCTTCTTTTGTGTATGGTTTTTTGTACATATGTCTCTGTTTAGTGCCATTCGTTTTGAATATTAGCCTTGAAGGGCGCGCGACGCACGCCAAAGGTTAGTTTGACAACTAATTTCAGCACATTTTATAAAATCTCAGGCTCAATTCGATACTAATCGCTATCTCCCCTTATAATAAGATTCATCTTTGCGATTTCTAATAAAGCTATATGTATTATACGTCTTAAGAACTTGTGTCATAATATAGTTTAACTACTATTTTCATAATCGTATTTTATACTGAAGATCTGCAATCCTACTTCTACATTTGTGTTATAATTTTGACATCTCAATGAGTGTGCGTTGTTGAGTGGTTTTTTTATTTAGTCAAAATAACAGAGGAAACTTAATAACTATACGTGATATGATCAAGGGCCTTGAAACGATTTTTTTTTTTAATTTAAAAGAATATAAATAAAGGTACTGTGAATAGAGTGTAGAAAATTTGACTATTATGATCACGTTAAATATTATCGACAATAATTCATGAGAAAATTGAAAGGGACTCCGTCTTCAGGATTCTGGTGAGATGAGCATGGGCAACGATATGGACAATAAAAATTATTAATTTGTATCGTTTTCATTTATTTACATAATATTTTCTATTACAACGTAGTTTGGATGCTTTAGTCTAAATACATGTATGCTTACGCGTTTCTTTGGGTTAATTTATAACAATGATTATAACTATTCGGACAATAATTTTCACGGTTCAGAGTCAATATCGACGCACGCAAAGGGGGAGAGGATGATACCTTGCTATGGGGCTTGAGCCAAGTCGGTTTTTCTTTTCCGTCGTCCTTTGGAGTTTTGTCCCTCAGCTTCGACCCTTGGTAGCGACGTCAAGGCCAGGCTTTTGGACTACCCTTTTCTCCTAGGTCAGCTGAAGATGTGCAAAACAAATCGAGTCTTGGACGTTGTGGTGTCTCTCGATGCCCTTTGGCACAAGTCCCTCTGACTTCCTTTTTTTCGTGAATTCGGGCGTCTTTCTTCTTGCTATCGATAGCTACTACTACTCCAGACTCCTTCGCAACCCGCTACCGGATTTTCGGGGGCTCATATCTACGGCCCCCCTCTTAGCTCCTTCGTTGACGCCTCTGCCGCTGACGAGCGGCGCGACCATATCTAGACGCTCTTACAACTTTGCGGCAGTGGACTCAAGAGAGTTACGAGTTTAATTTTGTCTTTAAAACTAATTCAGAGCAAAGGCACATAGCTAAAAGAAAATATAAAGCTCAAGTACAACAGTAGTGACAGATAGAGGTATATTTCAAGCAAACAGATACGAACATTTGAGACTGCCATAGTCATTAAATGGACATTTGATTCATTAGTTTCTATTGAGCTAGTTTAAAAGCATTATAGTTTTTCCGTTACACTTTATCCACGCCTCGGATGTTGATATTTGTGTTGAATACACTTTACCTAGGTGTTGGATTTCGATATTTGTTTTGATTGAATACCTATTTGCATGTACATGATAAATGTACGAATAGAGGAGATTCCGTAGAATTTATTTGTATTGTTAGTTTAGTAACTTTGTTGTCAGTCGTCGACTTGATCTTTACACTTTGCTTGCAACAGAATAAAAAAATATAATGCTTAAGTTTTGTGTGAGTGAAAAAAATAAAACGTTACCAAAATTAGAAAATTTTACATTTGGATTCCATAAAAATTTTAAAATAGTTATTCACGTAACAAGTGCGGAAAAGACTATTTCCCACACGAGTCGTGATTGATGCGGGTCTATCACACGAGTGCGGGAAATCGTCCGGCACGAGTTGCGTACAAGTTTTTTCGCAATAAGTGTGAGGAGAATAGGTGTTCTCCGCACTGATATTAGAAAATATATTGCGAAAATTATATTAAATGGTGGAAGTGTTGTCCAGTAATAGTTACTTAAAAATTGTACAAAATCCTACGGTACATAACATTAGACGAAAAATGAATCAAAAGTAACTCAAAGTATGACGGGAAAAAGCAGTGTTTATAAACTAGATCAGTTAGAAACTAATGAGTTAGAGGTCCATTTAATGGCCAGGATCCAATCCAGCATTTTTCTCATCTTGGGACCCAACTTGGCATATCAGCCTTCTATTAATCTAAATGTGTCTCAACCTCATTATATAATGAGAAGCACTGTGGGTAAAGGAAAATAAAAATCTCTGATGCAGCTTCAAAGACCCTACACGATCTAAAATTGCTAACGATACAATTGAAGGTAACGGGCGCTTAAATTGAAAAATGGCCGAGTGGGTGTCAAAAGTGGACGAAACGACCTTTCCGGAGTACGTGTTGATCAAAGAGAGATGACAGCACGCATGGGCTGGAGAGAAATGATAGAGGAGGACTGCAGGCGAGAGAGAAATTCCTGGGAAAACGGGGGCGAGGAGAGCGAAAATTGGAGAGATGAGCGCCTATGCCTTTCTCGCGAAACGAGAAGTGTACGCACACGGATGTACACACACGTGGACGGGAGAAGTCCTGGATGATTACGCGATAGAGATCAATTGCCCGTGTATCCATACGTGAGCAGGTGCACACGCGTACGTCCAAAGACACTTGGGTATACTGCAGCTGCGGGAAGAGTTTCACGGAGGAGCCCCAAGTCGGTCAACCGGACCTCGCTCGTGCGGAACTTTGCTGGCGCTCTCGGCTGCCACGTGCCGCAATAAGTAAGTCTAAGTAAGTATAGATAGGTAGGCGGTAGAGGCGCCGTGCCAGGAGTGCGCCTGGACAGCTCGGCTCGAGCGTATGAGGCAAGTACATTGAAAAAAAAAAAAAAAAAAAAAAACACAAGGTGGACACGACAAGAGAGGTGGGAAAGGAGAGGCTGATGGTCCCATACGCGGGGAGTCAGGTGAATGAGAAAGAGAGAGGAAGCACCTCGACGACGGAAAGTATAAATGAAGGACAATGACCTAATTGCGTGCAGAGTGACCAAGTGCTTCCTCGACAACTAATCCTAGCGAGGAGCCTATCCGTCTCTGTTTGATCGCGTGTATACGTGCGAGGGTCCAGGCGCGTCGAGTACGACACTACGGACGGACGGACGGGCCAGACGAGCGATAGCCCTCGCTTGATACTCTCGACATGAAGGTGAGTTGATTTCGTCGTCTCGAGCTCGGGCCATTTTTTGGGACTTTTTAAGACCTTTTGTCGAAATTAAACGAGTACCCGAAGTGGTATCGGCACTGTGGAACCATTACAATTTTTGTTTGATAGTGCGGATTCATTTGTCAGACAAAAAGATGAATCATGATTTTATCGAAAGACTATTGAAATTTTATTGATTCCTACAAACGTATAGGGTGTTTGAATTTTCGTTTCGTCATCGTTTCTCATTTTCAATGTACTTTTTTGGGGGGTTGAGAGAATCTCATCACCATAGAACGATACTCAATCTGACCATGAATTTTAAGACATGTTTTACATTGGAAATAAATTAACTGTAAAGTCACTTGAGAGACATCACTGAGAAAACGATGGTCGATTTTTAATTTAAACTTATTTACGGGGCATAGCACTTTTCCAAGGAAACGTCAAATTTTCAATGTGTCATGACAGACAGCGCATAAGGCAATATTTTACGTATTAGTCGTATGAATTTGGTGACACTCGCAAGTGTAAATCAAACAAAATGTTAAATACGCATTACGTATAATTATGATGTATGGAAAATTGCTCGGCCGCAAGCTGACTCTCAAGTATTTTGAAAACAGATCGAGTTACGAGCTCGAAAAAACCAATCTAATTATCGCGCGTAAGCGCCTCAAAAAATTTATACTTATAACAATGGAAGGTGCGATTAAGGGGAGAAAAACGGTGTGTTAGACAGTTATTGTTCATTCCTCAATTAATATACAGTTCAAGCTGAATACGGAACGAAGCAGCTATGTTAATCAATGTACGATAACCTAATATATTTGTGACAATAACAAACTACGCCTAACCTCACTGTATAAATGCAAATGTATTTTGTTGACATAAGCTTCAATTGACACTTTTATCGTGGGATGAATTTAAAAACAATCATATTTTTGTTTACTAAAAAGCAATTGTACACCAAGTTTTTAATCTATTGTAAAACATGGGATCACCGACATTACTGGGTACCATTTGAATATTTTGGAGAACCGCATGCGATTCAAACAAATAAATCATAATTCAATCATTCATCTACTCAACACATTGTGATAAACGAATAAATTTGATTACAATGATAACTGTGCAAACGGGTTAATTTCGACTGTTTTTGCATTCGAATCGAGGTTAAATAAGACTATTGTTATGTTGATGATGTGTTCCGCGTTCGATTCAAAGTCCAGGCATTGTGAAACAAACGATGATTTTCCAACGGTACCAAAATCTCAAAAAAAAAAAAAAAAAAAAAAAAGATTACTAGCAAAACCTGACATACTTCTCTCTTTCGCTCCGTAAACAGCGAAGTGGGCGCGTGCCAACGTAATCGTTCGTCCATCATCATCAGCATGATAACCGAAAGCTACTTTTGAAACTCGACGAAGGAAAAAGTGCTCGGGGAAGGGAAGGGAAGGGCGGTCAATGGGGAAGCCCTTCGGTTTTTTTCGCCCCATCATCGCTTCATCATTCATTGGCCCTCTCGAGGTGTAGCGCGCAACGTAAAATACACGTAAAAAATGCAGAGCAGAGGAGAGGAAACGGAAGCTTCCGCACCAGTTGGCCGGATTCGTACGCCAACATCACGGCAACGGCGTCTATGTGGCAAGGATGCGTGAATAACCGGAGTACCTATATACTCGGGAGCGAATTTCTCCGTTTCCGAAAAAAAAGGAGCCTTTCATCCGCGCGTTTGAGAATATTCAAGCACGACGCGTGTGCTCGATCGACGAGTTTCTAATCCGGAGTGCCCAGATCAATCGGCACACCAGCCGTACGCCCTGACTCGCACTTTTTCCAAGCCCATGACGCTGCTGTAGCTCACATGATAGGTGTACAAGCACGGGCAGTCGCGCACATGTGTGAGCCAGAGCGAAAGATAGTTTGTACAAGAGAGAAAAAAAAAAGTGCGAGGAGCGAGAAAGAGGAATAGGCGGCGGCGGAGGCAGCTTTTCCCGATTCGCTCGCCGTAAAGTATATACTCGCGAGTGTGATAAGTAGCACAGCGTCCCACTTCCCGAGAGCCGGTGATGTACTGACGCCGTATTGCTATACGCATATGGACTTGTATACTTACACTGCAGAGTGCAAGTCAAGGCTGTACGCGACTTGTTTAACAACGACAAGGAAGAGAGGTGGGGGGGGGGAGGTGTTCGCCAATAAAAGCAGCGTATACATGTATTGCTTGTGCGTATAGCTGTTCTTTAAAATATACCGTTTAGTCGACTTCCATTTCGGGCATGTATTATTACATGGTCCGTCAACAACACACGCATGCGAAAAGCCAACGACAGCGCGAGTAGCGTTGGGACATTTGTAGAGACGGGGGATTTTTCTGGGCCACCTCCCTTGCCTCGGTGGGGTAGTTGTACGGAGGTCGGGTCGTTGTTTTATTTTCCTCTTGGAGAAGTACAGCCGTGGCTTGAATTTAAATGTCGACCGGTTGCAGCGAAGGGCGGCTTGAAATTAAATTCATTTGAGGGAGCGCTACGTTAACGCGGACCTTCTGGCAGCTCAGGAGATTTACAGTGAAAATCTGATCCTCGTCATGTTGTCGGGCAGGGGGTCTTTTCGGAAGGACACGCTCACGCGGCTCTGGAATTTTTTCGTTTTAAATATAAGTAGACAGGGCCATTTAGAGCAGGTGGATGGGACGACATAAATGTAGGTAAGGAGCCAGATGTACACGTGGCGCGACATGTTACTTGCGGAATGCTCGTTTATGCAATTCATATGAATAAAGCTTATGTAAAATGTTACAGTGAATGGATTTCGATTTTTATTACGACAACGTAATAAGAGAAAAAAAAAGTTTTTTTTTTACAATAGAGCTAAACACACGCTCTTGTTTTTCATGCTTTTTGGTGTCTTAATTTTTTATTTTACACTAAAGTATGAAGCACAAGTGTCATGAGTCCGAAAAAGGTCAAACTTTTTTAGCGAAATAGGCTGTCTTCTGGAAGATAAACTAAAACTTTCAAAAACAAATATTAAAGTGTTATGTAAAATGTGGTAGCACTATGAATGTACAACTGGAAATTGTTGCAACGTCGAAAACGTTCCAGTTTTATCAATAAAAAAAAAAAATTTCAAGTCTGTTCAGGTGCGACGGTAGGGACAGAATATTCTCGTAAGTTGGACAAATGAAGTCTAAAACAAGCTCTGAGACAATAAGGTTGTGACTAAATTATTAGCATCAACACTTTGTCGACACTCCTACCGCTTTGTCAGTATGGGGTCAAGATGTGATCGGTTGCATATCAAACGCTGCATACTTTACATGTGTACATATAATTACACAAGACTATTCTACAACTTCAAAATTATATGCTTATTGTTTGGAGATCAGTGATCATTTGGTTCTCTCAAAATTGTATCGTCTTTTTTTTGAGTCTAAAGATAAAAAGTAACATCAAGAGCTCTGATAGTTTTGAAAACACGTATTATGTTAGAAATCATTAAAAATAGTTATCTGGGTCCATGATTTTTTCCGAGTCCAAACCAAAAACGTATGTACCTATTCTTCTTTCTATTCGATTAGTGAAGGTATATCGTGTCGTTATTTTCTAATTTTCTCTTGTGCACCTTCACCAGGACAATCATTGTACACACGACGATTTTTGATTTCTTTCCATAATTTACACAATCCCCGCCGAGTTTCATGAGAGAAATAGATATTGGCTGAGAACATAAACTTTTTCAATTGACATCATTTTCGCAGTTACACAGAAAAAATATGGACATTAAAAATGGCTACCTTAAGTGTAATTGGCCATAGATCTCCAAACAATACAATCTAGTCTAAATTACAGTTGTAGAACGGTCTTAAGCATGTACATCATGTAGAGCGTAATAAAGCTCAATTTGCGGCCGATCACATTTACGTGATGCTGACGAATCGATAGGATCATGAGCTGATGCCAGTAATTCACCTACAATTTCATTTTTTTCGGTTTAGTTTTACATGTTGCGTTTGTGTAGCTCATCGAAACAATCTGTTACCATTGAAGATACTAAAAAGCTCTGTGTTTGATTACTGATACAGTGAATATATTGTGCTTTTTATTAAATTAATAATAGAGTGGAAGTTGGCTGCCTTCCATTATTTATGGCGGATAAAAAATGGCCGAAAATAGATATTGATAAAAGGGTTGTAAAACATTTTGAAGTTTCAAATTTTTACCTTTTCATCGAGATGGCAAAACATATTTCTCCCTCAAGAAAAGAAAATAATAAAAAAATTTGATACTTTCGCAAAATGGAATAATTTAATTAAAATATCCAATTCAACTCGAACTCCGGAGGGTAGAATTTTAACTGGCTTATATTCCGATGCAATTCAATACGGAGATTTTTAATTCAATCAGCTTCCCGTATTTTCGCTGTACACCAAGCGCTTGGATTGCATTTCAATTTATAAACCAATTCAGACATCTCACATTGTTTCCATAAACCACTCGCGGCCGGCACCCAAAGCTGGGAAAGGAAAATCACGATATCCAAGATTCATTATTTCACGCTCGAGAGAACATATAGTCTTCATTCCCCTGTAAAAATAGTCGACGGCACATTGACAGTGTGCATTTTAATTGAAATTACTACCTCGAAGGCGACAGGTATGCTTTTGGTGACTTAATCCTCGTGTGCGGACGGTAACTTTGACTCGACACGGCCAAGACATCACGGAAAGACTTTTTTCATTGAAAATCCCCTCCTACATTCAGTTACGAGTTTTTAATAGCTTGGTAAGGTTTTTTCCCGTACCAGGTCCGTCTAAAACCTACGCTCGAAAATGTTAGACATATAAAGTCTTCTTCTACTGGCAAGTAAGATTATATTAATGCTAGGTACGGTATTTTCTTTCTATTGTCTCACTAAAAATCCTCTACCACATGAAGTTATGTTTGTCAAAGCTTGGTAAGGATTTTTCCCGTACCAGGTCTACTTAAAACCTACACTCAAATACGTTAGTATTAGGTTATGTTATTGTACTGTTAGGTATACTGTATCTTTACTCTCCAAGTATATATATCAGTGTCAGATTTTAAGAGGCCTACTACACATACACGTATGCGCACGCACGCGCGCGCGTGTGTGTTTTTAAAAATTTTTATGGAATTGAAACTGTTTGTGTCAATAATGCCAGTTATCAGAAAATCATACTACTTCAGTCAACTTTGAATGGGTCAGTAAAATATTTATTATGTCAGCTTTCAATCACCTTTCACTGGTTTTTGAAACAAGACAGTAGTATTTTTACAGTATAATCTGATCAGACATCAGAGCAAACATTTTCATGCACAGTTGTAATAATAACTTTTATAAAAATTTCATGAATAAGCACTCAACAATGTTGTACTATATATGGTGAGTAAAAAAGTCTGTTAGTTAACCTAACTACCATAGTCATCAAGTAGGAATACATATAAAAAAGTAATTAAATAATTTTACTAACATAAAAAAATATTAGTGAGATGCTGTAATTTCCAACTCACTAGAATGTTTTTGATAAAGTCATCCATGATTCGATTTGTTGTTACTTTTAATATTTACAGCATTAAAAGTTCATGACTGCATCAGTATCTTTTTAATTAACAGTCCAGTAATACAGTATCCAATTGTCACTTACTTTTCATGCTGGTATATACATTCATGTTAGAAATAATATTGAGATGAATAATCGATAACTTTTAATTATAATCTTTAACATACCTGCATGAAAATTGCATACCACAAGAAAAAAATATATAATAAGTACTGCTCTGCGCGCTATAGTACGTCGCGTATACACTGACTGGGTGCATCTACTTTTCACGGCTACTGATGGTAAGGGAAAAAACCGTACCACCACCAATAAATAGTCGTACTGATGTCCTAAAATCATTATACTCAGTAGATAATTTAAGATCACTGAAAGTGAGACTAAAAATTTCCATGTAAGTAAGCAATAAATATAACGTTGGTCTAGTACTTTTTGTAATCAAATATTGAAGTAGGGGATTTTCAATGAAAAAGGTCTTTCCGTTTGTGACTCTGAGTACAGCCGTTAGGACATATTGTTCCACATCCACTTTGGATGGCATCGCTTCTTCATCGCCAAAGCAAATTTGATTCGGTGGAAGCGAGAAACTCTTAATGTTTAAGATCCTTCCTAATCGTATAACAAATGCCGAGAAGAACATCTTTGCCTTGCGTTTTGGAATGAACATTTGTATACTTACTTGACTGCTACGGAAGTAGTGGAGATCACGCGAGTGCTGACCTAGAATCATGTTAAAGTTTGGCCCACCAAGTTTCACCTCGAAAAACGGAGCAATTTTTTTTGTAGGTACCGTTAAAAAAAAAAAAAAAAAAAACAGCTGAGGCAGTCCTCCAGCGAACTTGTATTCACGCTTGCACAATTTTATTTGGATCCCATCATATGACCACTTCTTTAACGGTACATTCAGCAATGTGGAAAAAATGAGTCACCTCATAGTTAACAACATTTCTTAACTAAGTATTACGGCATTGAAGGAGATGTAGGTGAATGGATTGTTCGGTTGATTATCATTAGTTTTTTCATTTCAGCCAATAGGTCAGGATCAAAATGATACTTTTTTTGTACGCAAGTCATTTCGGGTGATTATACGAGAGGTGTAGAAAATAGTAAGCTTTCCAACTTTTACCATAATGAGTGATCTACTGTAAATTTGACTTTCTAGCCAAAGTAATCTGCCAAAGAACGCGAGTTTTGATGGTCGTTCCTATTCTCAAGAATCATTACTTTTACAACACGTGCCATATCACTTGTCTTGTGATCTCTAACTTTCACGGGGCATCCACTTAAAAGAGTGTTTTGGTAAGAAAATTAAAAGCTCGTATTCAACTCTGGATTAGATAAAATACAACTTTCGAGGCATACTTTGCAGGTATCAGTGTTCACAATGTTATTTAATTGTGTACCAGCAATTTTTAATCTTCAAAGCGTCTGTCAAACACATGATGAACGAAAATTCGATTTTATACATGAATAGCTCTGACAACAATAATCATCAAACTTTCAAGTTATCGCGTGAATGAGAGTGGCATTGTCAAAACTCGAAATAGGATTATATTAACACTGGTCAACGATAGAAAAAACGAGAAAAAGACTTTTAAAACAACAAATATTTGGTCAGCTCTTTTGCGTTTGGACCAATTTTTCGTGAACTTGAAAAGTTGAAATTAAAAATTGGGGATATTCGTATAGCCATCAGAAAGTTTAATCCCTTGACTCTCGGAATTTAAATATTCAACAACACATATGAATATTAATCGAAGCAATGATTGGGATTTTAAATATTTAATTTCGATATTGGTATTTATTTTTCTTTTTTTTTTCGTTTTTACTATTAATCCACTTCATGCACACGATATGCAAAAAGGATCTCACAAAATTCCATTAGCTGTGAGGTACCATACATTTTAATTTGCTTGAGGAATATATACATATAGTAAAAGAGTTGCTTTATGTATATATTCCTCAAGCAAATTAAAATCTACGTTAGGAGAGAAGAGTATCTGGGTTTCAGCTAGTAAACACACGATTACATCGTAGCTACATCACTTTTTTTAAATTTTAATACGAAAGTCAATCATTTTTATTTTCAAATACTCGTTTTATCAACTTTATTGTTTATTTTGTTTAAACAATAATTTTTATAGTATGAACAAATAACTTTAATCGTTAGTACAGTGATTTCTACTGTTTGTAAAATAGAAATTATCGTCCAAAACGGTAAAAATTAGGTTGCTAGAAATAAAAAGTCCTAAACAAAGGAATGACACCAGATTACTATTCTAGTGAAGTAATTTTTATTATTTTTTTTGTCTCAATGTACCTATGAATATCGGGTTAGCCGCACAATATTCATGGATCAGTAATATGCACCTAACTCGATGATTATTCCCTTTCACTTGTTTCGGAAACACACGTAAGTTTTCGCAGAATAAGCTGCCAAACTAATACGAAAAATTGGACGGCAAACACTCTAGAAAAGGATAAAGGCTTAAATAGATATCTTAAAATATTAAAATCAGAGATGTGTGCACTATTTATTTTTTTTTTTTTTTTTTTTTTTTTTTTTTTTTTCAAATCAGTGAAGTGAAAGAGTTTTGAACATCATAGGCGTAAAGCTTAAAGAGAGATCCGATGGCTGAAGTACAACTAAACGTATTGACTGTTACAATGAAAACATTCCAATGGAAGAAAAACGGCTGCATGTATGTATTAATCAAACGAAAGAGGACTGCTTTATTTACTATTACAATGATATTTACGTAGAGTTGACAAATAGTTACAATCTGCCTAAAGGGAAAATGGGTCAGTAAAATATTTATTATGTCAGCTTTCAATCACCTTTCACTGGTTTTTGAAACAAGACAGTAGTATTTTTACAGTATAATCTGATCAGANAGTACAACTAAACGTATTGACTGTTACAATGAAAACATTCCAATGGAAGAAAAACGGCTGCATGTATGTATTAATCAAACGAAAGAGGACTGCTTTATTTACTATTACAATGATATTTACGTAGAGTTGACAAATAGTTACAATCTGCCTAAAGGGAAGTAGGCATATTATAATATACTCAAGTAAATTGTATTTTTTATCTAGTTATCTAGTTACAATATGCCATGACATAATATATAATATACATGAAACTTAAATATGCCGATAACATACTGGAAGAAAACCAGGCGTTACTATGAATATCTGTTACTTGCGTTCGCTCACTCGCTCGCTCTATCGCTCGTTTCATTTTTTTACTTTCCATATACAATGCTCCTAAAGAAGTTTCACTTAAAAAATTTGAGTACCTGAAAGTCATCATTTCCATACATTTACTATAGCCCCTACTTCGTCTGCTTCAGAGAACGAGCTGGGTGCTAGGCTGGCTATTCGTGGTACTCTGCGTGGCTCAGTTGACGGAGGCCCAGTACAAATTCAGGCGAACACAGCTACCAGGTCCACCACAAATTTTCAAAAAATCATGGGCACCCCCAGGGGCGAGGCTACCACCACCCATGGGTAACTCTATACACATCGGGCCGGGCTTCGGGGTACCAGCCAAGAGGCCACTTTTTAAGCCACCTAATTACAGGTAAGCCTCGGTTTTTATTGCCAGTGCTATAAACACTGCTTTTATTATGGTTATAATTTAATAAAAAAGACAAGAGAGAAAGATAGATCGATTGATAAAATATTTATTTGTACAAATTAAACGAAAAACAATCACAAACATCACAGTGCATTTATACATGTGTATACATGTAGAAACTAGAAGGGCTCTACCCCCTGAAACGCTTCAACGTGATGTACAAGTATGATTATTTAAATATTAAAGTTCAAATAAATGTAATTGTCAACATAAATGGTAGAGGAAATTTTTTCGAGCATGTTTTGTACGGTAATAAAAATAAAAAGAAAAAAAACTAAAAACAGTTAGTTTGTAGTATAGAAGTAAATCAAAAACAATAATAATTTAAAAACAAAAATAAATTTAACAAAGAAGTCAAACACCATAGTAGTCGAGAGAGAGAGAGAGAAGAAAAATGAAGCAACAGCCGCACGAGTGGTTTCTCTGACATCGAGCGAGCACTCACTCCTGAAAGTTGGCGCCTGAAAAATTTAGCCCTGAGTTGTCGTTCCATTAATATTGTGCGTGTGGCATGTTTACGAAGCTGTGGAGAAGAGTTTTTTTTTCTTGTCTCGCTAAATGCAATGAGACCGAGTAATTTGTAATCAAGTTTTCTCCCAGAGAGCACAGGACAACTTTCCATGTCGGGGTAGCTCTTTCCGCAAACTTTATTATTTCACTCCATCCTTGGCGAACTTCACTACTCACTTGAAAAAAAAAATTATTCACCCACCGTGCACTGAAAGATTTTCTAGAATTAAATCATAATTTTTTGTGTCATTGGTTGCGAGAACACGATAAGTTTGGAGTTTTTTTTATCTCTGCAGCGTATTTGATTGCATTTTACGTAAGTGCACCTCCATGTGACCTTTTACGATAAGTACTTGACGTTTACGGGCGTCGATATATTTTGCCGCCTAATATACGGTGGAAAGTTTTATACCTAAAACGTAATGTTCCTCGCTATCCCAGCTAGAAAAGTACTTCAAAACCAACAACTTTTTTCTAAAACTACTTTCAAGCAACTAATGATGGCAAACAAAAGATATTATATTATGAGACATAATGACTATCACATGTTGGCTGTATTCAGAAATGGTGCGTGTCGGTCAGTTTTAAGGTTGGTACCTACCCTCACCTTTGCACCATCTCCGAATTTATCCGTTAACTCAAGTAATGAAAATAATAACAATTTTTTGATAAAATACAAACTGAAATTATCTGTTTTCAAAAGCGAATCGTTTAATCATTCATTAAAAAACTTTAGAAAGTGAAAAAACATATCATAGATTTTACGAAACCCTCAAATGAATTGAAATTAAATTGTACCGTAGTTGTATCCAATGCGGTAAGCAGGTGCTTACAGTAATGCCGCGTCACACTATGTAAGCAATGTTACGAAATTCATAACCCGAACATGTTAATGTCAAGTCGGGTATCCAGATCCCGTTTAATATCAAATAATGAGCTGTAATTAAACGCATGACGTGTAACGCTTCAATATGGGAACTCAAATTAATATATGCTATCGAATTTATCGTCGTATGCGCGCAGAATATGCAGGGAGATTGACGTGTCAGCGAATAACAATTTTCATACTTGGGTCAATTGGTTTTTTATTACTCTACGAGCTTACAGGAGCATTCATGAAATTGATACAGCTCTGTATAATTAGATACTTTACCTATTTGCTACAAAACGTCTAACAGACACGGAAACTAGGGCTGTGAAATCGAGATGAATACTTAAAGCATGGACTCAAGAGATCTGTACTAAAAAAATAACCTTACAATTACGTAGGTAGCGATGAAAATTTTTCACGGTAACGAGAGTACCTGCGCGGCAGCGCTCCGCTTTGTAAAGTTTCAATTTTATCAGAGCCCCCTTGAAGCTCGAGCTTTTCGTACGCTTTTATGTCACTTGCTTTTTTTTATATCAGTTGGAAAATAAATGAAATCTCAACGTTTAATATGGTTCTAGTTTAACTTGAAACATTTTTTTAACCACTATGCCTCTTACGATGACAATGTAATTTATTGATTTATTAAGGCCTTTTTATTTGTTGCGTAATTGGTTGATACATAATAAAAACGTTACACTTCTCAATAAAGAATCGAGAGAATATCATACCTACTTTTGGATAAAAAAAAATTGTATAAATAGCATTTTATATTCGTGAGGGAAGTGATTGATTAACGAAAATGATTAATTCTGTGCGTATGAGTAATTACGCAAGCTATTTTTTGATGCTCGGTGTGCCAGGATTTCAAGTGATTTTATATCATGCAGCTGAGTACGGAAGGTAAGCATTCAATGTACTGGACTTGAATTAGGTTTTTGCATGAAAAATTCCATTTGGTCCATCTTGTATAGTTTTAAAAAATAATCGACATAATTTTTCTTTTTTTATTAATTAAAAACTTTACAAGATATAGCCCCTTGAAGATTTTCTTTTTTTAAAGCTATATGTAGATATTATATTCTTTGTGGATGTGACGTCAGAAAGACATGTGTGAAAAATAGTCATTTTGATTTTTTACTTTGAACTTGAGTAAAAATCAATATTTTTTCTTGAAACTTTTAGGAATACATGGTTTTGGTATGATGTAGACAAGGTTTAATTTTAAAAGAATGGAATGTAACCGTTTCTACGTTATTTGAGGTTATATGTATGTTCGATACTTTTTTCTAAACGGTGTATCTTTAAAAGTTTGAAATCGTTTTTTTATGTTTTTGGGCTCATTTTTTTTACCATGGGCCCAAAGTGCAACTGCCGCTTTGCGCCCTCGGGTGACACTTTGCGCCCTTGGAATCACTTTGGGCCCACAGGCAAAAAAGTCTTTTTCCGCACTCGGGTGGTTTTGGGAGGCTGGTACTTCCTCGGGCGAAAAAACAGTTTTCCGCCCTCGGGTGGTTTTGGGAGGCTGGTACTTCCTCGGGCGAAAAAGCAGTTTTCTGGAACTCGTTCGAAAAGTCTCCTTTACGAACCTCGTTACGTCCCTCGCCTTCGGCTCGGGCCGCAAACCTCTTGGTTCGGAAATAGAGACTTTTCAAACTCGTAGGAAAACTACTATTCCGCCCTCGGGTGGTTTTAAGAGGCTGGTACTTCCTCGGGCGAAAAAGCAGTTTTCCGGAACTCGTTCGAAAAGTCTCCTTTGCGTACCTCGTTACGTCCCTCGCCTTCGGCTCGGGCCGCAAACCTCTCGGTTCGCAAACAAAGACTTTTCAAACTCGTAGGAAAACTACCATTTGCACCCTCCAGGCGCAAAGTATGCCCACGGGCATAAAATTGCACTTTGCGCCCCCGGTAAGAAAAACATTATACGCGACTCGGGGACCAACATACAGCAATAGCGTCCTTCGGGCGCTCATATTTGTACTTTGTGCCATAGTGACGCAATGTACCATTTTTCGCACTTAATTGTAGAACATTCACAGGCAATGTAACTTCACAACATCACATATATATGGTATTTTTTGTAACTTCTAAAATAACATAATGTACAGTTACTGTCCCGCGTAGAAATTTTTACGTTTGGCCAAACTTTCGCCAACGTTGACTAAATGTGGGCAATGAGAAAATACAAACATGGATTTTTGCTAAAATTTTTTTACTAAGTTTAGCCAATTTTCATCCAAACTTCTTAAAAAATTAAATAAACACTTTAATATAAATAAAATGCATATACGACGAATCTAAAAAGTCGTGCAGAAGATGTACTCGAACATGGTCACCGAGATTTCACGTGCGACACTAGCACGCTTAACTACTTTTTTTTTTTTTTTTTTTAAAGAACGTTTTATTCAAAAACAGGTACAGTAATGAGTATTACAAGCGTGGAATATGGCGTACAAAAAAGCGCTTTACAATGTTGGTTCTTATATACTAATTGGCATGAGTTTATGCTCTTCAAGTATTTCTTGGGCTGTTATTAGCTTAATTCTTAAACTATTACATACTATGGGTTTCTTTATTACACTTAACAGATTTTGGAAGGTCAAAAAATTCCAGTTATACAAGAAAAAATACCTTAACAATAACTTGCCCGTGGCAGCCTTTTCGGTTTACATGGAATAGAGTGGATGAGAAATTTTTTTTTTTTTTTTCCTATGTGCATATATTTACAAAGATCCTCCTAATCATGGGAGCACCACTCTATGTGAGCTTAAGATTTTATTCAGCTGTTTTAATTATATAGCCACCAGTAGGTTTTGTTTTTGAATGTTTTTTCCTTGCATCTGCATCAGATAGAGCGGTGCTGTACTTGATGGGGGGGGATGTGTCCGAGATCCCTTGGGATCTTTTTGTTTCTTTGGTGTCTAGACCAATGGTATATTATCGGAATATTGCTGTTATTTTGTATCAGTCTTTGCTTATCTCATAATAAGAACGTTTCTGGCGAAACTATTCCATTAGCTTTACCTTTTTCTAATAATTCTATGTCTAAGTTAACTAATGTTTCCGAAATTATATTATTATTTACAACTTTTTTATCGTTAACGTAGTAGTTTCTACATAACTTCAACATATGTATGTCTATCCGAGGTATCCCGGCCATATTGTAGATGTTTTTATTACTAACAAATTTTTGTTAATTATGTACTGGATTCCTGTATGTATTTAGACAGGCTCCAAAACGTTTTCTTTTGAATATCCTGATTCTTTCTATTGTGGAGGCACTTTGATTAAACCATTCTGGTACGACATATGTGATTATTGGCCTGATTAGTAAACAATAACATATGACCTTAGCTCTTTTGCTTAAATGTTTATTGTAAAATAAGTTTCCTAAGGATTGAAATGCTAGGTTAGCTTTGTATAATTGTGTGATTGGGTGCTCATGTAACCTTAACAGATAATCGATTTGAACCCCTAGGTATTTTACTGTTTTATTGTGAGGTATATCTATTTTTTGTCCGTTATCCCCTCTTATTTGTATCTTAAAATCCTTCCAATCCAGCCTTTCAGATCTACTCAACCTGCTGTGATCGAGCCTGATTATGATCGATTCGCACTTAGTGCACTTATTTTTAAGAACCATTTTCCGTAATGAAAATTCACGTTATTAACTAAAGACTCTAATTTATTTATTGCATCAGCTGGCTTTTTTGCGCTTACATATAAAATAAGGTCGTCAGCAAAAAAAACTGCATATTTATCAAAGTTTTGATTTAGTTCAAATAGATTAGCTAGGCCGCTAATGTATATGTTAAATAATATCGGGGCGTTTACCACGCCCTGCTGTAGGCCCTCAAATAATTTTCACACTTATGATTTTTTACCATTTATGTTAACAGTTAAAAGGCTTCTGTTTTGAAATGAACTGTACAGTATTTTGACTATATGGTCAGGGAATTTTTTTTGCGACAACTTGAAAATTAGGCCTTTTACCCAGACGGAATCGAATGCTTTTTCTATATCGACGAGGCACGCCGCTACCATTTTATGACCGTTTAGGCGATTGCACGTATCTCTTAAGACTTTATGGAGCGCGTGAAGCGTGGAGTGCTTATGTTTGAAACCAAATTGCTCGTCAGGGATTACTCGTTCTGATCTACAATGATCTTGTATTTGCTGGTTAACTAGGGTTTCGAATATTTTGCTGATGCCAGGAAACAGGTAAATGGGCCGATAGCTTTTTTAAGAATCGGCACTATCTTGGCCCTTTTCCACGAGTCCGGGTAGTACGAATTATTAATAATATTATTAAATATAGTTTTGTAGTTTTTTATTGTTTCTTTACTTATGTGTTTAAGTACTATATTCGGAATTCCGTCTACTCCAGATGACGTCTTATTATTTAAATTTTTAATGATAAAATGTGTTTCGGTTATGTTAAAAAATATTTTCTGATTATAATTATTAGGATAATTTGATAAGTTAGTATCATTAAACGTAGTTATTGTTTCATTATTTTCCTTTTTTTTTTAACTTTATTTTTTATTTCCCTGTATTTATTATTAACAATTTGAGTCAACCTATCGTTTAGGTCTTCAGGTTTTTTTTGACTCACATGTTGATAATTACTAGCTAACGCGTTTAGTATGTCTGTTTCATCTAGATTTTAATATATAATTAATCTTTGCATGAATATTGTTTGGATATATTGTGACGTTATATTTCTCACCCCGTGACACGTGAAGCGTCCCGGCCAGGGCTGTCCCGAACAACGTCAAAAGACACGAAAATTTGTCCCCAATTCAGCACTGGAACTCACGCAACTGGCACGGCATCTGAAACGCAAAAATACTGCCACTCTACGACGCTCGCGGCTCGGCCACCTCAGCTCGGCTTCCGGAGACTCTCACCTAGAGGAAGTCCTACCAGGGGTAGCCCATCGGGAAGCGAGCTACTCTCTTACGGAGAAGCGAGCCCCACGCCCTAAAAGAAAACGCTTTCCGGCACTGGCTTACAAAATAAGGACCTGAACTGCGGGTTTCTCGAGTTATCCACTTCACTTTATTTTGTTATTTACACTTACGCGGGCGTCTAGGCCCCGAAAATCTCGTCGCGATCCGTCACTATTTCGCGACACAAATTCCGCAATCACTTTCAGTCAAATAAAAATACTTGCTCAAAATTAAAAGTAATCATTTGTAAAAATAAAAAACGTATTAAACGTGCCTTTTTTCGCGGCTTGCATTTGACTAGACTATCTTTACATATATCTTATGTGTTTTTACGTACTTAAGAGCCTCAATGTAGATCATATCTCAATTACTAAGTATTTATTTAATGTAATATAGTTTATAAATTTTAGTCTGACAATTATTTATCATTATTTATCACGTACTTACATCACTTTATATTAATTACCACCCTGAAAATTAAATTTGAAAAATTTTACCGTGAGTTTGAATCGAACCAGAGTCCACAGGTATTTGAATCTGACGTGTTACCGCTGAGCTATGGCAACATTGGATTCGAGTAAAGAAAAACTGAAATAAATCGTTTAACTGATATAAATGTACCTACGTCACGCGGGAATCCATCGATATCTTGTGAATCCGTTACATTGAAGCACACGTCAGAACGTGTATATCATAATTGTAGTTGTTCGTTTAATATTTCCACAATATTTTGGCAAGCTCAGATCCGTGGGCCTTAAGACAAGAAGTTTCATGTTGACATTTGAGTCATATCCGCATTGAATACCAAACCAGTAGAAATTAGACGAGAATCATGTAATAACATCATATGACACCATTTAAAGACTAAAATTATAAGAATATATGTGTGTATTTGCACCTGACATATTTTATAAGACCTTACATACCGAGAATACATCAAAATACTAAGAAAAAAATAATATACATGAAGTTAAATGTATATGATCCTATATAGTTAATGCATAGCTATTTGCTTGTAAGACATGATACAAATGTATAAAGAATTTTCTTATACAAACTTATCAGAAGTGTATCAAGAAAAACCTATATCATAAAGTTTGCGTCATTAAATAGGGATATTTAATGATGGACGGGTAAAAAAAACAAGTCGAAAAATTGTAAATCAACATCAAGGTTCGCCATACGCAACCATCAGAAAATAACCTATATAAAATAATATGTACAAATATTTTATAAATTATACCATATGTACTTATTATCCACATATAGGTATATTTTGTTCCGAATCATGGTATATATTTTTACATCATATACACCGATACATTGGAAAGACAAGAAATTTACTGATAAAATATTATACCTCGCAATTTTGTGTCCGGTATACTAAAAGGAATTTATATCAGGTTTTATCATGTTGTACCAGAACCATTTTACAGGGCCACGCTGCTCTACGACCCTTGTCCCAGGGGCCGGCTCTCGCAGCAAACCATTTTTATTTTTTCGAACGTACTGATGTTGTTGGAGCGAATAAGTTGCTCCCCGTTTCGATAATGTGAAATGCTAAAGTCCTTAATTTGGCTTTCTACTAATAGGTTAATTATTTTTTTCGGATTATCATCGTATGCGTATATGGGCACGCTTAATTACTCGGCTATGACGAGGTGGTGCGCAGAGTAACACAAATTGTATACATATTGTACCAAATATTATAATTTTTTTTTTAGTCATGGTTATTAAACTGACTTTACAATTCTTCTAAAAAAATTTTTATGTGAATTTATTTAGTTACAATTCATTGTATATGAAACAATATTTTCTTAGTGCATTGTCAAGCATATGATCTGCAATAAATGTTTTAATAATGCTAAATTTGCTAATTTTAGGTGTATTTTAATTTTTCCACATACAATCAATTGTAACTGAATAAATTAACATAAACATTTTTTTAGAAAAATTGTAAAGTTAATTTTATAACACGACTTGAAAAAAAATTTCAGTATTGCTTCGCAGGTCCTTTGGGCCGCAAAATAGCCCCGGAGACGACGGCACTTATCTGACGAAATAGTAGTTTTCATCGGGTAAGTGCCATCGTTTCTGGGGCTTTTTTGCGGCGAATCCTATTTTTTCTACCTAGGGCACACGCGACCCTCAAAAACGCCCGACGTCGGAAAACTACTATTTCTTACCATGGGCACAAAAATCAACTGCCGCTTTGCACCTTCGGGCCACGCTTTCAATATAGATAATATGGTTGAAAAAATAAAATATAAAATAGCTATAAAAAATTTTTTCCCCTCACCCGTAACAGAAAATAATTATTTTGTTATTACATACACTCGTAGACTATCACAAAAAATACAACAATTTAAAAAACACAATATAAAAATAGCGTTTATATCTTATAAAAATTTACAAACAATTATAAAAAACAACAAAGATAAAACGGAAAAAGAAAATAAATCAGGTGTTTATGAACTTGCCTGTAGATCTTGCGATAAAAAAAATAGAGGACTAACACGTAGAGCTTTTAAACATAGATTAAAAGAACAAAAAAATGCTTATGAAAAATGTTTAGATACTTCTAGTTATGCGGACCACTTAATAGAATGTAAACACATTTATAATGAAAATTTAAAAATCTTATACACATGTCATAAAAGTAAAAAATTAGATGTATTAGAAGCATTAGAGATTAATAAATTGAAAAATTCAAACATTTTATTGAATGACATGTTAAATCTTATTAGTTCATTATTATTAAATATGTATTGTGTGTAATTTCGCCTATGTTGACTACGTACGTATTCGTGTGTTACTTCGCGTTGTTGTGGATCTTTAATGATAAATGTGTATATGTTTTGAATATAAGTGTAGTATGTCGTTCAGTCTTGCTGTACACGCGTCTGATGAAGGAACTGTGATACTGAAACGGCCGTAACGTTTTTATTTACAAATAAAGTGAAGATTGACTTATTTATTAACAGTCCTTTTTATTTATTAAACCACCAATATGTACGTTTCATGATTATTCCACCATCTCAACCTCCCTTCAAATTGAGCTGTATCGCGCTCCTGGTCCTAATTTCATTCGATCGTACATTAATGCTGTAAACTATGCTCCACGAGCAATTTTCCGTACGCATTACAGCACGTCATAATCATACATCATAAAACTGATGTTTACCGCCTCGGGGTTCAATTTCAACAGTTTTAACGCAATAAACTTCTGATGGCATCCGATCTCTTTCTCTCTCTCTCTCTCTCTCTGAAAAAAAAAAAAAAAAAATTGATCCAATAGGGTACCTGCACTCGGATGTTAAAAAAAAAAAAAAAAAAAATTGATCCAATAGGGTACCTGCACTCGGATGTTAATTGTATTTGCCCACACCCTTAAAGGTTCCGCCGACCCCCCGTGGGAGCTCCACCTCCCGCACCACCACCACTGCCAGCATCGTTGTTCAACGTCCTGCCGGGTTCGGGCTTCAAGAGCCCAGTCGCACCCTTGAGTCTCCTGGCGAGCTACGGCACCCTGGGCCAGCAGCAACACCAGCCGCAGCGCGGGACTGCACCGGCGAAGGATCTCTCACCGCTAACCAAGCATCCTCAGTACAGCCCGGAGTATCGTCCAGTGGGAGTCGAGCCTCCTCTGGTCGGGATGCAGGTGCCGGTATCCCACAGGGGCGGCCTTGACGACGACAGGGGACCCATTCACACGATTCCGGCCCCAAACCTTGGTCCCACTGCCGGCAAGTCTTACCAACACCAGCAGCAACAGCAATCCAAGAAGGATCAGGAGCTGCCGAGGCGACCGCCTTACTCCGTCACTCAGGTCGACTATGCGAGTATCTTCGGACAAGGTAAGCGAGCGATATGTCTTTGTTTCCTTGCATCGTGTTTTATTATATATAAGTACATATCAAGCGATAGTAGCCGCTAAAAGCTCAGTTTTGCGGAGCCAGGCAATTAATTCCGTGTGTAGGAGCGATCGATACTTGCGAAACGCGGACGCTTCGAGTTGCGGGACGTGATGTATGTCCTCTGTCGGTCGTTAGTCCACTTATTTATTTTGCAGGGGTTCACGGGATATTGCGTCCCACGTATAGGTGGAAAGAGGAGAGCGAGGGTGTTTTTTCAGGGGAAACGTGCGGGTCACGAATCAACCAAGTGTTATTACTACACAGAAATAAATATAACTAGGCAAGTGGATAGAAAAAATAACCCGGTTTAGTTGGATATTTCATTTTAACTTCTATTCGAGTTTTCTAAGAGTAAAAACTTCATTTGTCGGTGAATCCTTTGACGTTAAAATTACGCGATTAAATAATATGATGTAGCCTGCAATATCATGATTTTTTTAATGAGAAAAGACTGGAAAGTGATCGTCTTTGCGAGTAAAGCTTACAAAACTGAGCCAGGAATGAAATAATCAAAAGAGAGGAGATGGACGCAAAATACCAAAAGAGATTGCTCATTAAAAAATCGTTCCGCAACTCTGTATCTTGGAAAAATTCTGTGATGGCATCTTTTTTCATTGTCAAAGAAAGTGGGAACCTGAAAGTTTACTGGGAGTAATGGAAATATAACAAAAAATTGGTATCATTAGTATTACAGTTCCAGTAACTCTGGTACGTGCTGTTTTGAAATTTTACTTTACTTCTTTATTAGATCCAACTGAGGCTCTTTGAGAAAACATTTCGCTGTGCATATAATAATAATACAATTGATAGCAGATTGCCTATTTCATCAACTTTATTCACAAAAAAATAGCTGTTTAAATCAAAATTTAATATTAATTGTATATTTTACTTAGTAATCCTGCATACGAAAAGCCTTACGGGTGACAGCCACTAGACTCTTTACTAATGGAACCAAAGATATCGGGTTGACAGCTACTGCAGCGCTACTATCAAAGTCACATGTATTAAGCCACTTAGTACTTACAATTACCAAGTATTCCAAAATATTAGTGGTTTGAATTAATTTTATACGAAGCAGTGGTTGTCTTTAAACATAGAAAAAATAAAAAATTACCAAAAAAATAGGCTAAAAAATTATTCCCTATGAACATGACGAAGTAAAATTTCTCGATACTTGTACGTGTTCATACATTGATCCGTTTGAAAACTGCTTTGCATCTTTTACAAAATGTCAACAAGCGTCTTTTTTTAATGAACTTTATATAAATTCATGAATATAAAACAGTTATTTACGAGTTACTTAACTTACAAGTAAACCTACCCAAGTGTCAGTCACCGATTTTGATGAAACTTTGCATAGTGGTAGATAATCAAAAAATAAATAACACGTGTTTTTTTTTATCGGCGGAGAACGGTTCCTAAGGGTTGAAATCTACCCTTAAGTTTTTACCCTTAAAACACATATTCTNCTTAATGCACGTGGCTGGAGCCGGCTCGAGCGTGCAGCAGCAGCAGCCAGAGCTCCACTTGGGTCAGCCGGTTAGTACGGGGCCTCCCATGTCCGCGGCCAAGCTCTACGAGGTCCTGAACGCGTTCCCGCACCAGCTGACCGAGCAATACGCCCTCAACCAGGGACCCCAGATACAGCAGCATCTGCTGCAGCAGCACATCTCGCAGATGATGCAGCAGCAGCAGGACGGGGAGGGCTCGCTGATCAAGGTATATGGGCAATGCGCTGGTGTCGAAGGTTTGGGGGTATACTCGTTAAAATATGCCTATTTTATGTCCACTTTTAAAACAAAAGAGGCCTCGAGGACAGGCCACCCAGGCTTTTGTGTGTATAGAAAAGTGTAAAATGTGATAGTTTTTCTGAGCTCTCAACCCCCCCTCGTTTGCTTTTTTGTACATTATTGCTTTCAATCCCACGAATTCCATGATACTTGGAAATCAATGCGACAAGTCCTTGTCCTCCGGTTGGATGCGAGCTCGATTTTTTCTACCAAGGGCAAACTTAGAGAAGGATTTGCTTACTACCCTATCAATGTACAATTGTATGTTAACAGAAAATTAGATTACATGTTCCTTATAACTTTTTGAATTTTAACTGACACAAATGGCATGTTAATAGTTAATATTAAACGTAATAAATGTAATAAAAAACGAAGTTCATAATTTATCAGTAGAAACATAATTTTTGCTGTGGAAAAATGTTGGAATTGAATATTGATATTTTAACTATTACAATACGTATGGTTTCGGGATGCATATTATACATCAGTTAGTAGTTAATATATGAAGTTAATTATTAACAAATCCTTCTCTCAGTGCGCAGTACACGTCCTATGGTAAAAAAGCCCAAAATAGGAAGATTTTTTATTTTTTCATTTATTTTTGAAAAATATTAAGTTTAAAAGAAAATATTATAGAATATGTGTTTTAAGGGTAAAAACTCAAGGGTAGATTTCAACCCTTAGGAACCGTTCTCCGCCGATAAAAAGAACACGTGTTATTTATTTTTTGATTCTCTACCACTATGCAAAGTTTCATCAAAATCGGTGACTGACACTTGGGTAGGTTTACTTGTTAGACGTACAATAGCTAGAAAGTTGAAAAAAAAAAAAAAAAAAAAAAACTGTCAACTGTACCATTAGAGCTTCTTAAAAATCTACGATATATTCAAGTGAAAACCAGCAAAAAATAACAACCATTGAATCGTTTATTCATGAAGTCATATATTTTAAAACGTATACTAACAACAATTTTACTATACTTACATCTTTACATCAATCTATGAATCATTTTTCCTGTCATGACAAAAAATTTAAGTTTCCATGTACAAGTAGGCATTCACATATCATAAGTAGCTGATTGGATGTAATTTTTGCAATCGATTATCAACTGTAAGATTAGATAGAAATATTTTCCCGAACAGGAATTTTTTCTAACGAATGGCAATGCAACGAAATACTAATTCGTACTATATTTTTTCTTAAGTTTCGTTCTTTGCAAATTAAATTTTACATAATTCAGGTTATGTCATTATCACTTCTCCTTTAGTTACAGGGTAGTGATTACAATTACTGATTTACATTAATCTCATTTCACTTGTCCATCCCTACTTTATTTTGTTGACAACAAACGTACATGGGACATTCTACCGAAAACGGCATATTTCATGCCACAGTCGATTACAAAAGCGTTTAGGGATTATCGATCTGGAAACTTTTGTGATTAATTAACGGATGTTTACTGCTGAAGGTACAATAGAATTCAGACTATAAAAAAGTATTCCTTCAGTTGGAGATGCAAAAAAGGAGCTAAATTACCGTTACGGGCTCATGTCTCATTCGAAAATTAGCAGTTTTGACGACGCTTGGAATCAAAACACAGAGTTTTAAATTTTTCTACGGTATGGGATATTAAATTTATTAACACAAACAACATTTTCACGCATTTCAGACAGCTAAAAAAAATTTTTCCAAGAATCGGATGCTGTTAAAGTTGCGGGACTAAAATCTTATAAATTTAACATTTCAGCGAAAAATACTCTTACAAACGCACGCAATTGAATTTGGGCGTTCTTGCAACGTTTGGTTGTCGACTCAGAAGGTGACAGGATAAAATATAGCTGTTTTGTATATGATAAAGATGAAATGGCGAAGTTTAATTTTCAATTGGTGCGTCACAATATCGATCTTCCAACTAATTTATGAAGAGCCCGTAACGCTTCTTTTTTTGCTATAGCCTGTAACGATATGAATCACACTTTATCTTCGTTTCATGTTGGATTATTGACTCGGATAGTGACTTGTACAAACGTTAATTGTAAGTACATGATATAAATGTGAGAAAAAATAAAAATTTTCATGGAGAGCGCCCTTATCTCAATTATGATGAGATTTTATAAAAGCCCGTAACGCTCCTATTTTTCATAAGTAAAATAAAAAAAGTCGTTAAAAATTTTCTCAGACAAATCCAGAAGGGCCCAAATTGTAGCTTGTTTTTGTCACGAACAATGCAAAAAAAAATATTTTAACACTGAATGATCCATTTAAAGTATTTGTCCATTCCAACCCTTAAATTACGCCGGTTTTCGTAAAATGACTCATGTATATATTATATGATTCAAAATATGTTTAATTTATTTTGTAAATTCCAATGCAACAATATTTCAGCATTAAGAAAATACGTAGCGATAACACATAAATGTGAAAAAACTTATTTTTAGAATCAAGTGTGATGCCACAAAGGATTTCACCCTCCAGTCCGCGGCCGACGAGTATTAGTACTGTTCAACACCAGTACGAAGTAACGGAGTCAAACGAAGTCAATTCCGCGCTTCCGGCGTACTTTGCGCCCGACTTTGACTCTGCACAATACGCATCCTCCGTTATTCAGGAGCAACAGGTTTGTTGATTCAAAAATTATAATAGTAATGATAGTGATAATAATAATAATGATTATATTTATAATATTATTAGCAATAATAAATTTTACACTCACAGCTGGAAAACGCTTTCCAATTGTATGCGTGTATGGTTCCAGTCTCATTTTAATCGCATTGCTTTCGCAATTTCATGAGCTTTGATGGCCTTTCCCTGCAATCTAATTTTCTACAGCGCCCAGCAACTCTTTTGACGAGCGATGCGTTGATATTGGAAATGAAAAATAAAAAAAAAAACTCGTTGGAGCGACTAGGTGCTTCACGATTCCTGGAGTGACTTTGCAATCGAATTATTCAATCGACCATTTTTGTTACGACTTCATTTAAACTAAAGCAAATTGTCAGTTACCGAGAATCAATCGATAAACAGCCATATGGATTCACAGTGAATTAAAGGCTTATTTTTTTCTGCACACTGTGTGAATTCACTTCCAAGTTTCCAGTGTTTTGCCATCGCTGTTGATTCAGTTGATTGTTCTGATGGATTACCTGTTTCTGTTATGCCTAGTTCTAGTGTAAATACTGTCTAAACACGCAGTCAGGACTTGGGCATAGTACACGACATTGTGAGCAACATGAGTTCCATCTCGAAAGAGTGCCTCCAAAGAAACTTGAAAATCGGGGACAAATTTGGGATGTTTTTTGTAGATTTCTTTGTGTACATAAGTATATGTACGAGTGACAATTAAAGCTTTAAGTATACAAAGGCACAAAAGTCGTTACTATAACGTGTGAGTCTCGTCATCGCGTACACTTACTTGTTCCTCTCGCACTCTCATGTATTAGTTAAATTATTAATTGGGACTGAGCGGGAGACAAGAGTTGGTGCAAACATTGCCTCCTTCTGCTAATTACAGCTATGTTTCTTCGGTCTTAGTGTGCTAGCTTTTGCGAGATTTTCTGTCGTGGACCCTCGAGTTACTGAGCTACTGGTGCCTTCAGCTTTCTCTTGTTTGATGCATTGGTCAGAGAAGCGGAAGAAATTTTCTAGTTATTTGTTTGCTGTTATACGCAAAGTTGTGATTTCGTCGATAAATCTGAGGAAAATTACTGAAAAATTTAATACATGAATTAATTTTTTCGTAGCAAACTCTATTATACACTCTGGCCTCGAAATAACTATCTTTTATCTTGAAAAAATACTTTATATTCATGACTTTTCCAGGTTATCACTGAGATTTTAAGGTTTTTGAAAAGATACGAGTCTCCTCTGTTTGACGTATTAAATTAATTAATTTCTAAGTACAAGTTATAAAGAAAATTTCTAATTAAATATCGTATTCTTGATCAATAGAAATACAACTTACTCAACATATTATTAAATTTTGAATCGTACATATTTTTTATAATTTAANTTATCTCAATTATGATGAGATTTTATAAAAGCCCGTAACGCTCCTATTTTTCATAAGTAAAATAAAAAAAGTCGTTAAAAATTTTCTCAGACAAATCCAGAAGGGCCCAAATTGTAGCTTGTTTTTGTCACGAACAATGCAAAAAAAAATATTTTAACACTGAATGATCCATTTAAAGTATTTGTCCATTCCAACCCTTAAATTACGCCGGTTTTCGTAAAATGACTCATGTATATATTATATGATTCAAAATATGTTTAATTTATTTTGTAAATTCCAATGCAACAATATTTCAGCATTAAGAAAATACGTAGCGATAACACATAAATGTGAAAAAACTTATTTTTAGAATCAAGTGTGATGCCACAAAGGATTTCACCCTCCAGTCCGCGGCCGACGAGTATTAGTACTGTTCAACACCAGTACGAAGTAACGGAGTCAAACGAAGTCAATTCCGCGCTTCCGGCGTACTTTGCGCCCGACTTTGACTCTGCACAATACGCATCCTCCGTTATTCAGGAGCAACAGGTTTGTTGATTCAAAAATTATAATAGTAATGATAGTGATAATAATAATAATGATTATATTTATAATATTATTAGCAATAATAAATTTTACACTCACAGCTGGAAAACGCTTTCCAATTGTATGCGTGTATGGTTCCAGTCTCATTTTAATCGCATTGCTTTCGCAATTTCATGAGCTTTGATGGCCTTTCCCTGCAATCTAATTTTCTACAGCGCCCAGCAACTCTTTTGACGAGCGATGCGTTGATATTGGAAATGAAAAATAAAAAAAAAAACTCGTTGGAGCGACTAGGTGCTTCACGATTCCTGGAGTGACTTTGCAATCGAATTATTCAATCGACCATTTTTGTTACGACTTCATTTAAACTAAAGCAAATTGTCAGTTACCGAGAATCAATCGATAAACAGCCATATGGATTCACAGTGAATTAAAGGCTTATTTTTTTCTGCACACTGTGTGAATTCACTTCCAAGTTTCCAGTGTTTTGCCATCGCTGTTGATTCAGTTGATTGTTCTGATGGATTACCTGTTTCTGTTATGCCTAGTTCTAGTGTAAATACTGTCTAAACACGCAGTCAGGACTTGGGCATAGTACACGACATTGTGAGCAACATGAGTTCCATCTCGAAAGAGTGCCTCCAAAGAAACTTGAAAATCGGGGACAAATTTGGGATGTTTTTTGTAGATTTCTTTGTGTACATAAGTATATGTACGAGTGACAATTAAAGCTTTAAGTATACAAAGGCACAAAAGTCGTTACTATAACGTGTGAGTCTCGTCATCGCGTACACTTACTTGTTCCTCTCGCACTCTCATGTATTAGTTAAATTATTAATTGGGACTGAGCGGGAGACAAGAGTTGGTGCAAACATTGCCTCCTTCTGCTAATTACAGCTATGTTTCTTCGGTCTTAGTGTGCTAGCTTTTGCGAGATTTTCTGTCGTGGACCCTCGAGTTACTGAGCTACTGGTGCCTTCAGCTTTCTCTTGTTTGATGCATTGGTCAGAGAAGCGGAAGAAATTTTCTAGTTATTTGTTTGCTGTTATACGCAAAGTTGTGATTTCGTCGATAAATCTGAGGAAAATTACTGAAAAATTTAATACATGAATTAATTTTTTCGTAGCAAACTCTATTATACACTCTGGCCTCGAAATAACTATCTTTTATCTTGAAAAAATACTTTATATTCATGACTTTTCCAGGTTATCACTGAGATTTTAAGGTTTTTGAAAAGATACGAGTCTCCTCTGTTTGACGTATTAAATTAATTAATTTCTAAGTACAAGTTATAAAGAAAATTTCTAATTAAATATCGTATTCTTGATCAATAGAAATACAACTTACTCAACATATTATTAAATTTTGAATCGTACATATTTTTTATAATTTAACTGCTCGCACGAGATAGTAGACAAGTATACTGATATACTTTAGTTTGAAGAAAAGGAATAACACAAAAGTAAGCAAAATCATCTCGTTTACAAATTAAAAAGGTCATGTTTTAAAGCGATAGAGTATCTTAGGTATTACTGGAAAGATTTCAGGAGGCTATCTACTCAAATATATGTTTTTTTTGTTAAAATTAATACAGCGATTTATTGAGATCTCATAACAATATGGTATTACCATATGCAAGGGAGACACCATAATATTTAAGAAAAAATGAGTATATGAATATTGGCATATGCACGAGATATTTTTCCAATTTTCGAAAAAGATTCAGAAAATATAGGAACCTTTTTTGCTTTTCATCCAATTTCAATTTTTCAGACTATTTTACTCCTCTAACTATTTCAGCTAGAGTCATCGAGGGTTATTTTTTAAAATATTTAATATATCAAAAGTTACACACAATTATTTACACGAAAATGCAAGCAATCGTCTAAAAACTTATATTTTCGTATAAACAATGGTACATAACTTTTTATGTGTGGAATATTTTAAAAAATTACCCTCGATGACTCTAGCTGAAATAGTTAGAGGAGTAAAATAGTCTGAAAAATTGAAATTGGATGAAAAGCAAAAAAGATTCCCATGTTTTCTGAATCTTTTTTAAAAATTGGAAAAATATCCATACGCAATGTGCCAAAATTCATGTACTTATTCTTTCTGAAATATTAAGGTAATGGCTCACATTTTACTCTTACGGCACATAAATTTTTTAAGGATATTAGCGAGATTAAAATTACTTGTCTATCAATATTCCCATTTAAAAAGAAGATTAAGTAAAAAATAAAAAAAGAAATGAAATAAAGGAAATTAAAAAAAAAAGAAAAAAATTAAAAGAAACAAACCAGGGGGTATAAATGGGTCATGGGACCCGTGGTAAGAACGAAATTCTTTAAACATGAGATGAGTGCCAAAAAATAATTAAACATAAGATGTATATCGAAAAGAGTTATAAAATAAAGAAACACAATTTCTCAGGTAACAAGGGGGTCACGAGACCCATAGGAAGAACGAAGCTCTGTAAGAATAAGTACTGCATTCATGTAAGTAGACAGTAAAACAAAAACTTGAAAACGAATAAAAAAAAAAATTAAAAAAATTAGTTCAGTTCTTACGATGGTTGAACTTCGTAAGTACTGTATTTATGCACGACGCTCTCACGAAGTTCAACCATCGTGAGTACTTAACTAAATTTTTTTTTTTTATTATTGACATGTTGCAACACGAGAAAAATTAAGCTCACAATGAAATGCACGTGCTTTCTACGTAACACTCAAAATCATTTCTCCTTACGGGGTTAGAGCGGTACAGTCAGTCTCAAAAGTTAATTCAAATTAAAAATTAGTGTATTTTATGACTATTCTTGATAAATCATGCGAGCTTTTCCATATCGTACAGCAGAAGATTACTATCAAGTGAAAAAATAAAAAATTAATACTTCAAAATCGAATTTATGCTCCATGTTTTATTTTTTATCTGCTGTATATAGATATACCAATAGCATTTTCGTAAAATTTTTAATTAAAGTATTTCTTAAACCGTGACGGCTTGCTTCCTCAAATTTGGATATGTTATTTTAATTGTTACTTACAACTACATACTAGTTTTTTGAAAGAATTGTAAAAATATTTTCCAAGTTATTGGTAAAAATGTACATGTCGCGACGACGTTCTAGTAAGATCCTGTGTATAAGATACTAAGTTTGCTATTTTTTTTTCTCAAAAACTGTGATGCTACGGTTCCTGAAATTTCAATATGTTGTTAACGTAATGAAAACAAACGCATTATAATTTTTCGAAGACTGTCGTAAGAAATTTTTTTTTCGCTCTAACCCCCTTAAGAAGCCTGTTGCGGCCGTATTCATAATTGATGACAGCCGACGCCACTATGTGAGAGCCAAAACAAACTATTTATATAATTATTTATTGACGATTTGCCCTAAATTGCTTATCAAATTTGAAATAAGCACCCTCAAAAACCATTAAAATCATATGCAACTCGAGATATACATATAAAATGATCCTACGTAATTCATTGATTAATTTGTGAGAGCCAAAACAAACTATTTATATAATTATTTATTGACGATTTGCCCTAAATTGCTTATCAAATTCGATATAAGCACCCTCAAAAACCATTAAAATCATGTACAACTCGATATATACGTATAAAACGATCCTACGCAATTTATTGATTAATTTGTCAAATTATTTATACAATTATTTAACATTTTGAATCAAAATGCGTCAAAGTTGAGAAGATCATTGAGCTCGAAAAACATGTAACACATAAAGCTTTCAACTGCTACCTCTAAGTATCTTTTCTATTCATTATTGTTTGAACAAAAAAGGTTTTTTAATCATTTCCTGCTTTCAGGGCTGCTTGAAACTTTCTATTGGGATGTAATATGGGCCACTGGAAGGGATAAAAAATTCAACATGGCGCGGAAGAGTCAACGCATATGCATGCGCAGCATAGGACTCGGAGGCTATTTTTCCTCCGTATTTAAATTTTTGATTACAATGAGGCCCGTGCGTTTTTCTAAACTATTTTTACATCAGGAAGCAGCTCCCAGTACACTTTTTTTATACTCTAGAGCTATGTAACTCACGAAAATCCGAATTAAAATATGCAGCTGCTGATAGCTTTCCCGCGTATACATATATCTACAGCAGTGCTCGTATACATATAGGTACAGCACTCTATCAGCAGCTGCGTATTTTAATTCGGATATTTGTGAGTTACATAGCTCTAGAGTATAAAAAAAGTGTACTGGGAGCTGCNTTGTTTTTTTTTTTATAGGAGGAAGAGACTTTCAGTAAGCAACTTCCGTTTCATGAAAATCTGTCGTTTTTAAAATTCCAGCCCCTCAAGCACGCGTCACAAAGAACTTCGTTCTAAAAATGTATTGAAGACCTTGAAAGTAACTGTACGGATAATTAAATTGCTCCTTGCGATATTAAAAAAACTAGAGTTCTTTAAAAAAATTCACGACCTCTCATAGAACCCTGATTTTTGGAATTCATATGCAACATGACTCACGACACCATTAAATGATTTCAATTAATAATCATTGAAAACACATTTGTAGTTAAGTATCGTTTGTTCCAATAATAATTATGATTTTTTCTTTTTCTGTTAGTACATTGTTGCAAACGAATGGTCTACGTTAAGAATACATCGATGGTTCGAAGGAAAAAGTAGCCACCTCAAAATTTTGTTCGAAAACCAGTCACCTCAAATTTTCTTTCAAGAAGTAGATACGTCGAATGTTGCTCCTAGAACCAGACACGTTAAATATATATTCAAGAAACAGACCCATTGGCTTTAGTTCAAATAGTAGACACGTCGGAAATAAAATTTTTTTGTTTCTACCCGAAAAGGATGGATTTCCATGTCTATTTCTTGAATGGAAATTCGACGTGTTTGGTTCTTGGAGCAAAATCCGACGTGTTTGCTTTTTGAAAGAAAATTCGAGGCAACTTGTTTTCAAACAAAATTTTGAGGTGGCTACTTTTTCCTCCAAGCCATCGATATGTATAATTGTGGACAATAAGGTGGAGTAAATACACTCTCTAACCTACTAATAACTTATCAAAGGTGTACTTGCATCCCTAGCTAATGAAAATAATTCAACAGCATCGCAAGCTGCATCGAAAATAAAAATATGAATGTTTCTCGTGAAAGACAAAAAAAAAAAAAATGCCAAGAAAAATAGTCAAGCCAGTAAAAAGAAAGCTTTGATGCTCTCGTTCGAATGAAAGTTGCCACGGAAATCCATACAGCTGCCGGATTGCATCAGCAAGTTAAGAACAAAAGCAAAGTCATCGAAACAGCAAACAAATAATCCATCATCTTCTCTCACTGCAAGCACGCTCCGCTACAGCCTGGAAAAAGCTGCACCACTCGGCTAATATTTGCCAACAAACATCGGAAAGCTTTTACGGAAGCTCCTCTCATTCTAATCCTACCCTGTCTTTCGACTCGCAATTATTCGAGTACCCAAGCATATATATGAAGAAATCCACAAAAAATATCCTGTTTTTGTTCCCCATTATTATAAAAAATGCACACCTTCGATATAGGACTCATTTTACTCGTAATCCCATGTACCTACTATGAGGAAAAAATTTTGAACACGGGTTTCAGTGAGGGTGATACACCCTTTTTCTGCGATTTACATGTTAAAATTATATCTGTACATGTGATTGCTATATACATAATTTTAACATGTAAATCGCAGAAAAACGGTGTGTCACCCTCACTGAAACCCGTGTTCAAAATTTTTTCCTCATAGTAGGTACATGGGATTACGAGTAAAATGAGTCCTATATCGAAGGTGTGCATTTTTTATAATAATGGGGAACAAAAACGGGATATTTTTTTGTGGGTTTCCTCATATATGTTATGCAGCTTTATATATAAAGAGCGCGCAATCAACATAGCATATAAGCACACTAATGCACACACAATGTATTATATTATATATGTGTATCCCGATCTCGTAGGCTAACGATGTTTACCAGAGCCATCCGTCTGGCCCGTTTCCATCCCCGTCGTCGCCCCGGACGAGCACCCAGCATCGACTACAGCAACAGTTGGCGGATCAGCAGCAGGCCGACGCGGCGGCGTCATCGAGCGACAGCATCTCCATGCACACGAACCTCCACAGCTTAATGCACGTGGCTGGAGCCGGCTCGAGCGTGCAGCAGCAGCAGCCAGAGCTCCACTTGGGTCAGCCGGTTAGTACGGGGCCTCCCATGTCCGCGGCCAAGCTCTACGAGGTCCTGAACGCGTTCCCGCACCAGCTGACCGAGCAATACGCCCTCAACCAGGGACCCCAGATACAGCAGCATCTGCTGCAGCAGCACATCTCGCAGATGATGCAGCAGCAGCAGGACGGGGAGGGCTCGCTGATCAAGGTATATGGGCAATGCGCTGGTGTCGAAGGTTTGGGGGTATACTCGTTAAAATATGCCTATTTTATGTCCACTTTTAAAACAAAAGAGGCCTCGAGGACAGGCCACCCAGGCTTTTGTGTGTATAGAAAAGTGTAAAATGTGATAGTTTTTCTGAGCTCTCAACCCCCCCTCGTTTGCTTTTTTGTACATTATTGCTTTCAATCCCACGAATTCCATGATACTTGGAAATCAATGCGACAAGTCCTTGTCCTCCGGTTGGATGCGAGCTCGATTTTTTCTACCAAGGGCAAACTTAGAGAAGGATTTGCTTACTACCCTATCAATGTACAATTGTATGTTAACAGAAAATTAGATTACATGTTCCTTATAACTTTTTGAATTTTAACTGACACAAATGGCATGTTAATAGTTAATATTAAACGTAATAAATGTAATAAAAAACGAAGTTCATAATTTATCAGTAGAAACATAATTTTTGCTGTGGAAAAATGTTGGAATTGAATATTGATATTTTAACTATTACAATACGTATGGTTTCGGGATGCATATTATACATCAGTTAGTAGTTAATATATGAAGTTAATTATTAACAAATCCTTCTCTCAGTGCGCAGTACACGTCCTATGGTAAAAAAGCCCAAAATAGGAAGATTTTTTATTTTTTCATTTATTTAAAAAAAAACATATTTACTAATCCTTACTTCAATTTTTATACCATACAGATGGCACACTGAGAGAAAAAAATAAATTTTTTTAGAGAAATTCCAGCAAAAATTACCATTCCGCACAGCTAATCGGATTCAAGATGGCAATAAAGGAATAATTTTTTATTTTTAATGGTAAAAATTATTGTTTGATAGTTACAACTGCAGTTTAGTAAAAATTGGGGTTAGAACAGTAAAATTACTATACTGGAACAGTAAACCTTAAAAGGATTGACTAATCAATTTTACTTTCCAGCATAATTTTACTATCCAAACCATAATTTTAACTGTTAAAACCATAATTTTCACTAAGAAAAATAATAATTATTTTCCTTTTTTGCCAGCTTGCATTCGATTTACTAAGCGGAATGGTAACTTTTGCTGGAATTTCTCCACAATTTTTTTAATTTTTTTTTTCTCAGTGTACATAAATGAAAATGTGGGAAAAATATATTTTCTTGAAATTCTCATTTTTCCTTTCGACACCGAACTTGCAAGTTTTACACTACTAATAAACAAAGAAAACTATTTTTTTTTAACTGCAAAATATTCTTTAGAGTCTTAACACGTAGTTGAAAGCTTTATTTTTAACGTATACATTTTTACTTACCTGTGTATGGACTAAAAATGCCTAAAAATTGTCTCTATCACTTTCAAAACCAAACGTGGATTTGCTGAGTATTTTTTTTAGTAAAAATTAAAAAAAATTTTTTTAATTGATTTTTTGAATGTTCTCAATGTTCTCAATGGACGCTTAAGCACAGCAATAAGGAAAAAAAGGATATTTTCATTAATTCTAGAAAGCATTCAAAGTGTTGTACTACTGTAGTACAAGTAGACTCATTGATGAAATAGCCCTTAATCATAAGCAGACCTATTATTAAGCCTATCTATGTTATTCAGGTCTAAACTAGGAATAAAAAGACTTATGAAGCTAGTGTGAGAATTGTTGACAAATTTATTTTCATTTATTGATTTATTCAATAATATAGCCTAAAAAATATTATCAACGCTGAAATCAGTGATCACTTTAATTATATCAAAGGTGTAATAATCTTACGTAATAAAGTTATAAATAAACGATTTTTCCGATTTCTTAGAAAATCATCAATGAAAGTTTAAAAACAAAAAGTACTCATTTTTAAAATACAGTTAATTATAAGATGTATACACTGATTTCAAGCATTTTAATTCGATTTATTAATAACTCACGCACTAAAATTCTTTTGCATTTCACGAAATAAGTTGATTAGTTTTGAATAGTTTTTCCTAACGATAGCCAATATCATGTACACCGAATACTTTATTGATACACAGACGAATTGTCTAACCAAGAGAATTTCACCAGAAACGTAATCGCATCGACACTTCATCAAAAAGTTTGTCTTCTTTTAATTCATTGCATGAAACACTTGTGATTGTGCTTCATTTAATAGCTGCATTGTCATTCACAAATAAATTAATTTTTCTAATATTGAGAATACAAGCACATCAATTGTATTACTAATGATAAAAATTTTTTTTATGTCAGACATCTCTGCCACAGCCGACGCTACACTCGTTTAATTACGATGAGCAGACCAATAAGCAAAGCCAAAAGCAGCAACAGCAGCAGAATATATTTATTGATCAAAACTACGCCTCAGGAAAAGTAACGGCGGATTACAGCTTGGCACCAGAAACTTCTGAAATTGCTATTCAGGACATTAGCGTAGGTGATGGTAACGAGCAGCAAGAAAATCATATCGAATTTGACAGTCCCGTTGGTCACGTGAAGCCTACCTCTTATTTTACCAAGGTACGTTACGCTAATTCAATACAGGTATCACATTATTTTTTTCACATAAGTATACTAACTGAAGTTGGCAAAAAGGGAGTTTTATTTTCACTAATCAGCTACCAGTATAATCATTGAAATCTATGTAAAAAACCAATGCTCGTGGTTCTTTCCAAACCCATGATGCGTTGAATTAAAATTGGAAAGACCATTCAGTACAAACAAATACACATTTTAAACAGTTTGAAATCATTATTTACTTTAAATTAGAAAAAAAAAAATTAAATCTTTTTAATATTTTAACAAATGATTATATTTAATAACAGTTTTATGGATAATGACAAAAAGTTCTTGTCATGTTTGTTAATAAAAAGTCTAAAGTTTTTAGAAAAATCAGTTTACAACAGAAGCTTACATAAAAACCTCAGGTTTTTCTCTAAGAGCATAGTTGGTACATTGATAATCTCTGCAGACAAATAATTTGATAAGTAAACAGAAAAAATCTTTGTTTTATAAACACAAAAATATTATGACACAACAACGAAGATACAAGGATAAAAACTAATAGCCAAAAAGATTACCATAAAAATATATTAATACTAAACAATAAACACAACACACAAAAACAATAACAAAAAATTAATTATTTAACAAAAAAATCATGACAACTTTTCAATGCACTTAGAAGATATATAAGCTTATTGTTCTAGGCTTCAAAAAAGTCTCCAAAGAAGCAGTTATTATTTTTAAAAATTTTTACCCATCACATCTGTTTGACAGAATACAAAGCTTGTTGTTAGAACAAAAGTATATATGTATACAATCAAATGAATGTGAAGAACATTTACCAAATTTGTCAATAAGTGTAGTACGTGTAAAAAGGTTGGCTATAGTGTTTCTGTAACTTATTTATATGTAAATATTACATTATGATTTATATTTTTTTTTATCATAAAAAAAGTTTTTTCACTTATTTTATACAACAAGTTTCTTTTACTGGAAGACAAAATAATACTATAAATAAAATACACTACGCATCTATGTACTTCTCTGTATTTTCGAATACAGATAACACACTCCCACACAAATAAGACGTCAAATAATAATTAAAAGAACATCCTAAGCCTAAAAACAGAATTTATTGAATGTAAAACTTTTAAACTTCCTGTATAAAAAAATGCTTACGTTAAAAATAATATGAAATAATACAGTACCGATCTTCGTAAAGGTGATTTCAAAAAGAAAATCTTAAAAATTTTTCGTGTTTGGATGAAACTCGGTCGCCAACTGTGTACTTGGATTAATGAAAAAAAATCTGTGAACATGAAGTAAAGCCCCACGATAAGTCATAATTTTCACAGCTAATTACCGAAGACTCTTAAACAAATGTAACCCGATGAGTTTCGAGCTTTCCCAAATTACAAAGTTAATGTATAACCAAGCGAGATTGCCCAACGAGAAGAAAAAGAGGGCAAAAGCAGCCGAGCCATTGCGTAGGCAAGTTACCCCAACTTTTAATAACAGAGGGCCTCGATGGGAACGTCCCACGTTGGCCTGTCATTTCCCCATAGATCGGGAACGACGAGCAGAGCGCGGCCCCGCAGTTCTACACGACCCTGCCGAACCGCGACGCAGCCGAGAAGTTGGCCGCCCTGGCGGCCGCCGGCAACGTCAACAGCCAATTGATAGGCCAACTGAGGAAGCAGCAAGCGGACCGGCAGATCCCACCAAACCACAAGGAGGAGCTCGCGGACGAGGGGGGCCAGCATGACTACAGGCAAAAGCTCCTCCAACGGCGGCGTAAGGTTAACGACGAACAGGCCCGACGCAACGAGGTATAAATCTAATTTGCCCNTATTGCACGCGCGAATTCGAGTGAAAACTCAATGAGCTTCCGCAAGGGAATGATACCATAATGTACATTCCACGTAGACCCGCTCCCCGGAGACTCGAACCGAATAAAATGCTGTCAATCTGTTTTTTTCTTTTTTTTTTGCAAAGTCGCGCTAGACTGCGAACGGGGAACTTTTTTCAATATTTTGCTTTGACGGGTTTTAGATGACTTTCGTTTGAGCTCGCCTATTCGTGAAACTTGTCTCTTAGAAAAAGGAATTCTTATCGACCGAGACGGGGAAAAAGTGCACGTGTACAATTTAATCGACTAAGAATCTTTTGCCGAACGTACCTATACTATGACAGGATGTACTTGAAAAATCGGGAACATTCGTTTAAAAGATTATGAGTTCTGTTTGGTATGTATTTCGAGAAAGTTTTAGAAAATTTTTTTCCCACAAAAGATGCACTCGTCAACTGAAAGAAACTATACCGACAATTTTTACGAAAACTTGCACAACTTAGATTTTTTTCCGTTGGACAACAGTTGCACGAGAGATAACTTTATGTCTTGCAGGCCGAAAATTTTTTTTTCCGGCCGATAATGTTGATCTTTATTTTTCGTGGTCTTAACAAAAGTTCTTTACTTTCCTCCCTGATTAAAGAGGCAAGTGCGATGTGATAAATCTCATTATTGCTAATGGGAAAGGTTTTTTTGTAAATGATAACGGGCCCAGTTATAAAACACCCAAAATAAATTAACTTGTTTTGTATAAGTATGGATATAAACGACTATTCTAAATTAAAATACAAATTTACAAATTCATTTCAACTTGTTAATAGAATTATTCATGTCCTTATTTTTAAGACATGTGTCTTAAAAATTGGGATATATGTCCCTAACAATAAGACAATGCTAATTAAGTGTATTTAGGTGTTTGATGATCTGGTACATTCAGTTTTGAGATTATATTCCAATTTTTTACGTGAAAATGAAACGACAAAACTTGAGGATTTTTTCATAACAATGAATAAAAGATATTAAAATTTCTAAATCAATTTTTTTTCATAAAAGAAGTTATATAATTAGCTTAATTATTGACTGTCCCATAACAGGGACATATTTTGAAAATGCCTTAAAACTGGGCCCTTATCATCCGCTTGTCTGCCACTCGCGCATTCAGCTACAAAGTAAATTTCCACGCAGAGAACCCAAATTACTTTCCTTGACAGCAATAAATGCGACTTTTATTTGGGAGTTCACATTGCACTCTCAACCCTAAAGTCGAGAAAAAAGTTGTATTTTCCGCAGGAGAAGGAAAATAAAAATATCGTACACACGCGACTTGGGATTAAAATATGGCATCGACTTCCGGGTGGCGACTCACGCCCGAAAGATAAATCCCGTATACTTTCACCCCTCGTCACGTCTTCTATACTCGGAGGGGTCGACATTTCCATACTTGGAGGACGTCAAATACTTTTTTCCGTGCTTTTGGTGGAGCTATGACTACTTTCTCCTCATGTTTGGAGTGTAACAATAATTATACCTCTTTTATCGCAGATTCCAATAATTTTCGCTCTCATAGGGCGAGCTGTAGGTTGTTATACGTCAAAAACTACGTTATTCCATAATTCAAAATAGATTAACTGTGTAGGTACTGTCGTGTATTGTTATCCAGTTAAATTTCATAAGATAGGGTGGAAATTGACTTTGGGAACAAACATTGCATAAGTTAATTGGAACTAGCGAAATCGAGTGCTGAGGCTGCAGATGAGAAGAAAACGAATCCAATTTATTGCGCTTAGGATTTTGTCAAACAAACAGAAGTTAGTGAAAAAATCTCGGAAAAAACATAAGCTATTCAGTAACCTCGTAACGTGGAGCTCCCATGAAAATGCTCGTATAAGCTAGAATCGGTAGAAAGATAAAAGTCGAATATAAACGATTGTTGTCGTGCCATTGCAAATGCAAAATAATGTTATGGTTTTAACTTCTCCGATAATAACGAAATGCGCGCACAAAAGCAACTTGACTGACTACAAGAATACGTATATTGATTATTACAACAACAAGCTTTACTAAGTTTAAACGATCGGTGCCAGAAATTTAATTTTTTGTGCCATTCGTAGAATGTTTGACACGTCTAATTTCCGTGCACTGGTGTGTGAAACGATCAATAGTTGTTTTACTGCGGTATAAGTACATAGGGAGTTCCAAAATCACACCATTTATAATGAAACAGTCTATATTTACAAAGTTAATGCAAAGAAATTGTTTTGAATTGAAATTATTTATGAAAAAAATGATTTTTATAATTAGACCCCGAGTTTTCTTAAAACTTTTTTTCGATACTAAATGTGATTTTATGTTATAAATTTTGAAGACTCTTTAGAGTACAACGAAATGACTGAAGTATTTTCTAAATGTTTTTTCTATAAATCCCAAAGTAAAAATTATTTTAAGAGCAAACGATAAGCGATGAACAAATAAAGCCCAGATTAGACTATGAGAATGATTGGACAACTGTTATTATTAGTTATTATCACTCATAATTTTCTTTTTTTTTCTTCCTGAATAATACTTCAGAAAGAAAGAAAAAAAAAAAAAAAAAAGTATTGAAAATAAATTTTACGAATACTAACCGATTGTTGACAAAAGTTATTTACTGTTGGGAAAAAAATACTAATATACACAACATCAATAAAAAATATTGTTTTAATAGTTTAGACTTTTTTATTTGTTACTGTTCTACTTCCTTTTTTTTATGAATAATTAGTGATAATTGAGTCAATACGACTATTTCTGCTTAGGTCGACACAAGTTTTTCCTTCGATTAAAAAGTTCTGACTTATGTTCACTTTGACACTCATACATAATGCAAATGAAAGAAAACACATACAAGTTTCGGTCATTGCAAATAGCAAACACTCGAATGACAATGCCACCTTGATACTTTACTTTCATAGCATTTAAGTTATACCAAAGGACATATTTTAATTGGAAAAGTTTTTTTAATCGACCGGTAGTCCATCGTAATAATATATTATTCAAAGTGTTTGTACTGCTGCTCGCGGTTATTAAGTTTTTCACCCTCGACGTAAACGACAAAACGTATTATTTATTAAAATCGCAGATTGGCAGTAACCGGAACTTGCACCTTATTTTTTTTCAGGAAAGAGAGAAGCAAAGCAAGGACAGCCAAGCTACTCTGAGAATACTCGTCCCGGAGAGTAATGGCGAAAAGGAGACACAGATAGAGTCCGAGGATTACGAGTACGAAAACGACGAGGCAGAGCTTCCTCTCGAGCACGAAGCTGCCTCCACTACGCCAGAAGACACAGGGTTCGGATCTCGCATCGTATCTAAGAGTAGTAGTAACAAGTGACCTTGACACCGGGAACTAGTTGAATAATTATTTTTCCTTCTTTTTTCCTACGGTATCGAGGTCACATTCAGAACTCTTTGAGCTTAAAGAAAAGAAGAAGTACGATTTGTTTGTTTATTTATTTACTAGACTGAGAAGCGGCATTGGAAGTTTATTTGACCAATAATTATTGTGCTCCGTCAAATACTTGTATGAATGCCAGTATTATTGTTGTATTACACGATAGAAGTACGATAAGTGTGGTATCACTTTATAAGTATTTAATCATCTTTGCATAATTACGTTACAAGCGGAAATTTCCTCTTGTATGTGTATTGTTTAGATTGATTTATTTATGAACTATTGGTTTTTTTTACTTGTTTATTTAGTAGTATTAAAATGTGATTTGATGATTTTTTCATTATTTTACATTTATATAGATCGTTTGACTGATTTTTTTTTTGTGTAAAATATTGACTGAAAAATTTATATTTTTAATTATGTAACTTCTACAAAATTAGTAGTGACAATGAACCATACATTATCATATGACATTATAAAAAAATGCCTTTTCAATTTACAAATAGAATGTTTAAAAATATTAGAGGCATTTTTTTTCCACTTCTGAAAAATGAGATAAGTAGTACTTAATTGTGTGAAAAGAAAGTTTGTATAAGAATAAAATTTCTAAGATACATAGAAAGTACATTTTATGAAGTATTTCGTTGAAATATGTTTTGTTTAATAAAAAATATACACGATAAAACTATGGCATTGAGTTAAAATTCCTGTTGTTAAAAGAAGAAACCCCAACTGATGTACAATTTAATATTGGTACAAGTGAGCTAAACTTTGAATAATATTACTCTATATTGTCAATTTGAAGCGCATTTTATCTATATTTACAGAAATTTATAATGAATACAACTATGAGCTATCCATGAACCAAGGACTGCCATCATTGGTAAAACGTTTGGTTAAGATATCGCAGCCAGTTTCGGTAACTAAAAGCGTATGCTCGAACTGTGCCGACCACAGGCCGTCGACTGTTACAGCAGTCCAGTCGTCAGGCCATATTGTATCACGCCACGTACCCTGTGAGATCATTGGTTCAATTGTAAAGCAATGACCAGGTTTCATGACTCCGATGGCTTTGTTTTCTTTAAGGGAATGATATTAAAGATTTAATAAGCAAATCATTGAACTGTATCCTTAATACTATATGTGATGTCAGTAATGTTTTGAGGTGCGAAATTTCGATTAACTTACTTGCGTAATGAGGAATATTGGGGGCTGTATGGAAAAGCCGATGAATACCATGTCCACAGTAACTTCTAACAACGCTAAATCCATTTGCTTGAGCATGTTTTTGAATGACGTTACCGATTTCCCTGTATTTTTCTCCTGGTTTTACAATATCGATGGCTTTCATGAGACACTCGTGTGTCACCTTAACAAGTTTTTTGACCTCTGGTTTGACGTTGCCAACAAAAAAAGTTTCATTTAAATCTCCGTGAAAGCCATTGTGATAAACAGTAATGTCGACTGAAAAATAATTCCAAATAAGAAACTACATTCAGTTGGGGCAGCTATGGAAACAAAATCATGGAAGATCATCGAATATAATACCATTACAAATATCACCATCTACCAAAGGTCTTTGATCAGGGATACCGTGACAGATTACTTCATTTATAGAAGTGCAACAACTTGCTGGAAATCGATAGTAATTCAATGGTGAAGGGTAACAATTTCTTTCAATGCAAGCCTCATGAACAATCCTATCGATCTCAGCAGTAGTTACTCCAACTCCACAAGCCTTTGCTGCTTCATCCAATACTTCCCTGCCAAGCTAATAAATACAGTCGTTCAGTTATCATTATCAGAACTTCTACAATGGAATGAATTTTTGGGATGCTGTAATTACAACCAATAAGAAAAATAATAATATAACCTTGCAGGCTACACGCATTCCCTCAATTTCCTCATCATCCAATGTTTTAATATGAGCAGAGCCCTTGACTGCCTGTTCACTCAGTGGTATGCCAGCTGCATGTGTAGCATAATCTGGCCTCTCAATAGAGACGGGAACTGATCGAAGAGGATCTCTGGGTGCTGGACGTAATTTACCAGTGAACTGGAAAGATGGCCAAGGATTGTACTCATTCGTAGAGTCATTTTTGTTTCCCCCCTCTGTAACAGACAAACAAATGCTTATAAAAGATAAATCATAGTTTCATATTGAATAATTAGAAATTAAATTTCACGTAATGAGCCTTAACAAGAATCGATAATCTGTTTAGTTCAGTGACACTTGGAGGTAATTTAAAAATACATGGTTGCTGAGGCACTCTTAATAAAATTGTATGACATGAGTTTGAACTCACTTGCCAGCTGGTGCAAAACTTTGTGACTCTTCCAGTTGCCTTTGAAGCAGTCCTGACAGTCAGTGGGTAACAGAAAATGAAATAATTGGTTACATATAGATATTGGTATTGGAACTTGTTAATTATAAGCTGGATCGCTGCATGATCGGCTTGACTTGTCGGAAACAATCGAATTCACACCTATTTAACTCTGAGATGGCATATTATGTACACAGTAATACCTGTGCGCGAAATTAATCATTTTGCTTGCAATCGTAAGATACAGTATCAACAGAAATGGCTTCCTCGCGAGCTTAGCTCATTCGTTCCCGTTCTTTTAAAAAATAAACCATGTCTTCGAGGACCGACAAAAAAGAATTTTCGATCCGCATAAACATAATCATGGAAAATTTGCAGCTGTAAGAGCTCTTATGAGTTTCAAGTGTGCGATATGCTCGATTTTACAGTTCATTCAATACTTAAATCCGTAAAAAATATGTACACTACTGTAGTGAAAAAATACAAATTTTTTAGAGGTTATAATCGTTGCGTTTACAGAAAGTTCAGCCCGCTAAATATACTGCAATTGACTGCTGTAATTACCTGGGAGCAAAAAGAGCTTACGATACCGATTTTGAGGCAAGTTGGACACTGGAGGCTGGCCAGAGCACTACAGCCGGGAGTTTCGCAGCAGCCTGGAGGTTGCGGCATCGTGATGCAGTAACAGTTACTGATCTGTGGGCAACTTATGCACTGTATGCAGTTACTATTTACTATATAGACTATGTAGAGAGATTATTAAGGACGTTCGGTAGTGATTGAATTTTCCAACGAATTTTTCTGAAATTTTGACCAGACGTTTTTATTGTTGTTACAATAAACCAGTCAAAATTTAAAGAGGTTCCTCTGTTTCGTTTTCGAGATATTGAATTTCAAAGTTAAGTCATTTTAACACTGTCGCTTATGGGAGAACTGACTAAATCACAGTTTTAAGCAAATTGGGCCAGTGAATTTGGCCAATTTTTTTATATGTTACAGATAATGTTATTAATTTGATGTATACCAAGTTTTGCGACGATCGTCTGATTCGTTTATAAATAAAAAATTAAATAAAAGCTCGACCGAAACGCAACGGCAACGTCGCAAGTGGCGGGAAATTCAAAATGTTCCAGGATGTTGATCAGTAAATATCTCAATATTATTGTAGATATTTATGCATTCACGCATAAAATACAAGCTTACGTGTGTGCGTGAGTGTATGTACAGAACGCCCACCCCTTCCCATAAAAAACAATAAATG